AAAAAAAAAAAATATCTGTCTGCAAAGGTAACAGTGGTGCTTGACTCATTATACAATATTTAAACATCAAAAAGGACACAGAACCTATAACACACCATTTTTTAAGCTGTTAGTAGTCGTTCTTATATTGTCTTGTTTTACTCTAATATTTTTCCTCTGATGGTTTATAATATTTTTAATGGTATGGACAATGCTTTATCAAATTTCTAATTTACAGTGTCAAACATAACACTTAGAATAAATGGACCTTTAAGAAGATTTGCTAAATCACTGGAAGAATTCAGATAGTTTTAGGTATTTAATTTATTATGCATATTGTTGCTTTTTCTTATCATCATTTTTATTAGCCTGTTGTTTCCTCAGTGTAAATGTATGTGGTAGAGGGGAGAAAGACAAACACTATAGTAAAGTCAGAATAGGCCTTTTCAGTTTGGCTAAACTCTCATATTATTACGTGTTTCCTTAGAAAGCTGTGCTAGATGCAATTCCTTCTGCTTGTGTGCACTCTGACAAGGTAGGGAGCAAAATAGTTCACAAGATCATAATGCAATATTACCACCAACAGAACAGGGTATATACAGGATAGAAAGTCACAATGACAGATTTCTATATTGAGGGAAGAGGAGAAGAATTTTGATTTCTCAGAAACAGCAGGAAAAGTGAATTCAATAAGAATAGCTATAAAATGCAAGATCCATATGTGTAGCTGAGGTCAGATTAGCGGGCAAATTCAGTTCGATACCTGAAAGTGACTTGCAGCCATTTGGGTTATTGGGTTGTACTTTATACCCATCTGTACAAAGGCACTTGTAGGTCCCATAGGTATTGATGCATTGCTGGCTACAGGGAAAGCCTGAAGAGCATTCATCAATGTCCACACATGTTTTACCATCATCCTTCAGTTGGAATCCAGGCCAGCATTTGCACTGGAGAAAGAAAAATGAGCACAATCAATTCATATCATTGTCAGTGTCTTTTACTATTGGATATCCCTTTAGCATGACTCAAATGAGAAGCACTTAAGAATACGTAAATGCAAGTCTTTCTGTCTCCCAGAAATTAACCCCTAATGAGAATTACATATATGTATTACGTAAAGTTAAAGTTCAAAAAGGACTGTCCCACACATCTTCATCGGATGTGCTGAGATTGGCAAGATTACAAAGTTAACTGACTTCACAAAGTCATGTGACTAGGGAATGGTGAAACAAACAAGTAAAAACACAATAAAAAAAAAAACTTCAACTTCTTTTACTCTTTTTCTATTAAATTATGTTGTGTTTTTGGAGACCTAAGAGTCATAAGAATTAACAGGGATTGTTAGCAGAGTCACATGTTATCTCAATTGTGACATATAGAAATCTATAATGAAAATATTTTTGCTCTTAGTTCACTAATGAAAACAGAACCAGGAAAGTAAACTTGCCTATATAAAGTTAATATGGGTGCTAAGAGTAGTCAATTTAAAAAAAAAAAAAAACACAGTAAGTGTCAATATTGGATGAATCTGACTCTACACTAAGACATGATGATTTTGTCTGAAGAAAAAGTAATATTAACTCTTTTTCTCACAGAAATTAAATCAAAACATACCTTCAAACATTTTCTTCAGTTTTACTGTTACATTTTGCGTGTCCCTCTGCTAATAATATGCGATACTCACTAACAGACATATGAACTTTTTGAGTATGTAAACATCATGCTCTATAAGTTTTGCATTCTTAAGAGGGATGAGGCCCTGTATCTGGTCGCCCTTTTAAAACTCTATTTGAAGGCCCTACCAAGTAGAATATGAATAATATTATTATAGGAAATACACCTTTACTTGGCCAGAAAATTTTTTATCATTAACTTTTATCAACACTCTTTAATTGGCTTTGAATAAATGAATTTGTGAATGTTGAGAAAGATGTCAAGAAGGAACTCCAAGCCATTAAAAGTAACTATTATTCAGGACGTATTCATCACAAACATTTCAGGATCTGGATCATTTAGTTGACAGTGACAGAGAGTAAGAAAAGTTGTATATATTGGGAAAATATTAAAATGATACTTGTCCATATTATGAAATTATCAATGATCATTTAATTGAATGGTAGAATTTTTCAATACAATAACAAAGTCCATTACTGAAAAGGAAAACAAGGAAGCAAGAGTAACTTCATCTGAAAGTGCTCAAAAGATAAATACATTAACTACTTTTACAAGGATTTAAATACTTTAAGCTCCTAGTACTTCTACTTTGAATAATTTACATCAACATTTGTCTAATAATACTCAGAAAATATAACGGACTGTATAAATCTCTAGAACAAACTGCCAAGCCTGCAAAGGAATGCAAAAGCCATAGGTTGAATTTGCAAATGCTCATTGTATCTAAATTGTGACAGTATTGCTTTCTGCTATACTTTGGATCCTCCTTCTTCCCCAAAGGCCATATCCAGAGGTCAGGTCCCCAGCTAATGACGCTGTAAGGGGAAAAGAAAAATTCAAAAAGCGACGTTACACTGGAGAAACCAGGCCACAGAGGGAATGCCTCTTAAGGACAGCTTTTGTAATAGTCTCTGTCTCTACTTCTCTTTCTTCTCTGGCCCCCATCAGGTGGGAAGCTTTCCTCCACACTGCAATCATTTTCCTGATTTGCCACAGGCCTAAAGCAATGGAACTGAGTGCTTTTAGCCAGATTAATGACGAGAATCAAGAGCAAACAACAGTGTGAAAGGTAGGAAAAACTTTTAGTTTGCACAGAAAGTACTGTGAAGGGGTATGGTTGCTGAAAAAAATCAGTACCATTAGACAGACATCAAGTACTTTCCCTATGGAAAAATAAGAAAGAGGCCTTGAGGGCATCTCAGGAATGGTCCAGACCCCACACATCACAAGTTCAAAGTCAAAAAAGTATAAACTCCTGTGAAAGATTTTGCTTTGAATAAAGAGCCCCAGAGTACAAGGTAGAGTACGGAAGGGTTTCATGGTATAAAAGCTTCCAAACAAATCATGCCAGAGCAGTTGGACTTCAAGAAGTTCCTAGGTGGTATAAAATTTGAATGTTGTCCATATGGTGTTGATTTTGCCTGGAGAAGACCTTCTTATAAAAGGGACTGCTGCTTACACTGCATGCAGAGAAAATGAAATCTTTAAGGCAAATGAGTTGTATACTTAGAAGCAGTTACAGTGATCAATAGTATGTTACATGTATTTTAGCACAACTTTTAAAAATTTAAAAAGAGAAATCTAACAGGATATGTTATCACTTTAAAGTCCTGAAAATCAAATCACTTATTCAAAAAATCAAACTGGTAGCTACAGAGTAGTCTTGAAACAAGGGGCAATTTAAGATAAGTGAAAAGAAGTTTCATAGAATAGATTGAATTTTTCTGAAGCACTATTATAAAATGAAACAAGGTACATCTTAACCTTAATAAAGTTTCTAAAATCACTTTGAATGCCTATATTAAGCTTAAAGAAATATTATATCAAATAGATGGCTTAGATGAAATAAAATATGGAAAATTAATTTATTTAAAATAAAATTAAAGTTGTTATAATACAAAATTCTATATACAGCAGTTTCAAGTTTATAGTAATTTTAAATATTGTTTTTGAGAGTCAGGAATTTGAAAAGAAAATTTTCTCCCCAATGCAGTAACAAGATTTTAGCAAAATATTTTTATACTTAAAGGATCTAAAAATCTATAGAAGAAAATCTACTAGACTTATAAAATATTCAAGATTTGTCTACATTTAGCAGAAAAAGTAGACCATAAAACATTTTTACACTTCCTTAAAAAGTCAATTATTCTGAGTCAAATAAAACTATTCAGTGTCATTTTAAGTTTTCTCATTATTCAGAATTATATTTTCCAGTTTTACTTTGATGTTATAGGAATATATAACAAGAAGAGAGAGCTTTGGCCATGCAAATGTTTCCTATTATTTTAAAGAAAATGTTTTTGCAGATTTTTAAGTGACATTAGACAAATATTATTATTACTATTTTGTTTTGTTTTGTTTTTGTAACCAGGTGTCAAACTCAGGACCTTGTACTTGCCAGGCAGGCGCTTGTGCCACTGAGCTATATCCTCAGCACAACAATTATTATTGTTTATTTCTAATTTATGCTTTAGAAATTTCTACCTCTCAGTAATATACTGATTGTATACGATAAAGTATCAAAAGATTCATGTTTTAATTTTTATTTGTTTTGGAGTGGTTCAATATATTTAATTTGTAAAAAATGTACAGATTTTTCAACTGGTAGGTTCTAAATTTTGCCTTGGTAATCAATTGCATATTAGTGTAAAATTTGGAAAATAATTTCTTGTCATTTTCTGTTGATCTTGCAATAAGAAATGGCTTACTGGTGGCCATTCCGATTCCATGCACTAGACAAACTGATTGGTACAATTTTTTCCAAAAAAGTGTGAGCAATTTGGCATTCCACTGAGTTCTAAAATGCCAGTCAGTAAGTTATTTGATTATATTGTATGCATACATATAATTCAGGTTACCCCCAAACATACTTGTGATGCACATTTATTTATACATTATATAAAATATTTCGCATGGGCCTTTGCTTGAATCTTTTATTTATGATTTTGGGCTCATCTTAAATTTTTGTATTGATCATGTTTCCACCAATATATATTTTATTTTATTCATTACACATATGCATCCATGAATTTTATCTGGGTATTTACATAAGTTTTCCAAATATTATATGTTCATAAACAGTTTGGAAAGTTTAAAAACTTCTATTTTCATCTAGAATTTTCACATCATTCTATGGCCTCAATAAAGGATGGAGTAAAAATGATATTTTAAAAGTATAAATAAACAAGTATTTCTGTTGAGCTCTTCAAAGTTTTTAAAAGAATATAATTTAATGTGGTTTATGGACAACATCTTCTATCAAAATAATTTTCCAAATACAATATTACTGTGCACTAAATAAATGCATCTTACGGGTTGGCATTTTAACAAAAATTTCATTTTTTACGTTATGTCACATGGTGGCTATTTTATATTTTGTAATTTTTTATATTTTACCACCGTGATTTTTATGACATTAAATGCACACAGTTTAAATAAACACTGACTGGAAAATTTGTCCTATAGAAAATGTTTATGTGATAGAACTAAAGAATTATTTGTAAGCCTGTGACTTAAAATTTTAACTAATTCCCTACAATAATTTTAAGATGTACTTCCTGATATACTCAAGACGATAGTTCTATATCGGTCATGTATAAGTCACAATTTTTTTTCTGCTTCTTGTGTTTTAAGATATTTCCTTCCAAAATTATTCGTATGATGCACAGGCTCTCATTAAGAGTTGTTCTGGCTCATTTGTTCTGTTTCCTTCCTGTAAAAAAAGTGTTTGTGAATTATTGCCTGTGTATTGTAAGTTTTAAGTTTATTGTATTCTTAATACAAACATGGGCCCAAAGACTTTTAAAATAAATGCAGCTTTAGCTTTCTTGATATTTGTTTCCTTCTGTTTGGGAGGCTGTTGTTTTGATTTGCTTATTTTCATTCTGTACTTCTAATCCAGGCTGGGCACATGGCTTCCAGGGAACGACAGTCCTAGAATCAATCCTTCATTTTACCTCCACTTTCCTGCTGGGAGGAAATGGCTGTTCGAGGTCTTAGGTTATACCTACATACAGTAAAACCTTTGTTAAATGTAGTTACTAATCATAGTACCAGAAATTTTGAGATTAAAAAGACCAACTTGGTTGTTTAACTGAATTTAGAAATTTAACTGAATATAGAGATGAGTGTCATTACAATGTTAAGGCTTGTGGAAAAATGGCCGATGATCTTCATACACACATTTCACTAGCACTATTTTAAGAAGGTTATTTAGCAACTCCTAAAACATTTGTGGTGGTGACATGTGAGGCAGCTCAGTTTTAGATTTTGTTAATGCAGCAAAATACTTAAGAAACTGGGTAGGGTGGTGCATACCTATAATCCCAGAACTAGGGAGGCTGAGGCAGGAAGATCACCGAGGGCTTGAGGCCAGCCTGGGCTACATAGTGAGTTCAAAGCTAGCCTGAACTACAGAGAGAGACCCTGTCAACAAAATGAAACAAAACAAGCAAAATAAAATGCTAAGAAAAACAATTTATAGAAGAAAAGTTTATTTTGGCTTCAGAGGCTTCAGAAAGGCAGACAGGAAGAAAATTACTCATTTCCTGCAGCTCAGTAGTATAGAGAAAATGAAAGTGTCTGAAAAAACATATACCCTTCCATGGCATGTGCCCTGTGGCCTATTTCTTCCAGTTATCCCCTGTAATTCAATGACCTATGTAATTGTGCACAGATTAATCCATTGATGTGGGTAGCACTTTCACGATCCTATCACTTTTCCAAAAGTCCTGCTTCTGAACACAGGAGATTATTGAAGGACATTGTATATCAAACCATGACATCTTAGTAGCCCCCAAAGCCTCCTAATCGTCTCATTGTGCAATGCATTTAGGTCACCTCCAAGAGTCTACAGTCTCAAGATTTCCAGCATTGCTCAAAATTCCCAGCCCAGTCTCCTCTCAGACTCCAAACTCTTAGCTGTAAGCCTATGTAAAAATTAAATAAAAGTTACATATTCCTGAGATACAGTGGCACAGGGAAAACATCCCCACTCCAGAAGGGAGAAATAAGTAATAGAAAAGAATGGACATCAATATCAAAACTGAGCAAGGGAAACGTTACATCCCATAGTTTCATGTCTGGCCTCTGGGCATGTGATAGCAGAACACCATCCTCTGATGGCTTGGAAAGTCTTGTTTCTACACCCCTGCTGGTTGTAGACTAAACACCCCTCCATGAAGCTGGCCCTACTTGCTGACTCTACCTTTCCCTGGGGGATGTTCCATATTCCTGCCATCTCTAGTTTCCTAGGGGAAATTTCCATTTGGCTTTCCCCTCACTCTCACAGCTTCACACATTACTTTCGCACAGAATATGTAAGGAATCTAAAACTGTCCCATACTGCCTGGCCTGCTACATCTTCCTCTGAATTCAGCATGGAAACCTTCATGGACCCATAACACTTGCATTCTACATACCTGAAAAACACGTATCACACAGACTATACCAAGTTCTACCCATCATTTGGGCCATTGCAAGGCCCCTTTGAACTATGGCTACCTTAGCTCTGAGCACCTGGTCAGTTTACTGTGGGGAAATAATCCCCTACATAGCTCCCCTACACAGCACATGGGAGCTCCCTTCACAAAGCAGTCTTTCAAAGATTTGGCCCTTTTATACTCTGGAGCTTGTGATGGCTGTGGTCTGACCAATTCCTGGGATGTCCTTGATGCGTCTTTCCCATTGTCTCCACAAATAAACATCTGGCTTCTTCTGAATGACACTAATCTCCAGCCACACATTGCTTGACTGTAACTTTGCAAGAGCTCTTGCTTCCTTTCTGGAGCATGTGTATGCTTTTCATGTCATATGGTTGGGATTTCTGTTCATAATTCTCTCTGCAGATCTGACAAAGAAAGCCACTCATATCGATCCCATTGTCAAATACTGTGCTGCCTTAAAATTTCCTCTTCCATATTAACTAGTCCATCTCATTTAATTTCATGGACAAAATGTAAAGTTCTTTGCCAGGATGTAAAGCACATGGTCTCCAGTCCAATTTTCAACAGAGTCATCTTTCTCATCTAAAATCAATCAGCTCTGTCTTAAAGGCCATATACCTATCAACATCCTGGTCTTCTGAACTTACATCAAAATTGCTCATAAACTTCCATTTACAACATTCTAAGGCTTCTCCAACCTGCATTTCCAAACCACTCTATGCTCTTCCCTCAAATAACTTTCAAAGACATCAGAACCACATGTTCAGATACAGTCACAGCAGTGACACAATTTCTTGTGTTTCTCAAATTTTCATCTCTTTACCAAAATAGCTAAGAAAAACAATTTTTTAAAAGATAGGTTTGACTCATGGTTTCAGAGGTTTCAGTTCATGGTACATTGGCTGCCAGGCAGAAACGTCATGGCAGATGGGGATGGCAGAGGAATGCTGCTCACCTCACTGCAGCTAGATTGAGAAAGAGAAGAGAGAGTGAGGTAGCTTGAGAAAAAATATATGCTCCCAAAGCAAGCCTTCATTGACCTACTTCCTCCAATGAAATTCTGCCTTTTCTCTCTACCCATGCAACTCTGTGAGTGGGTTAATCCACTGATGACATGTAGCAGCCCCATATCAAATCACTTTTCCTAAAGTCCCCACCTTGGAGTACATGACCTTGTGGGAATTTAGAGATCAAATCGTAACATATTCATTCCCATGTAAAGAATTCTCGTGTTAGAAAAGTCTTCTTACATTTAAAAGAATCTGTCTCCCAACTCATAATCTTAGCTCTTAAAAACAACTCAGATTGGTATACTTCCTATTTTGGTCCTTTATATATTTCAATATAGTAAACACCCATCTTTGCTCTAGGCTGAACTTCTGAAGACATAAGATCCAGGCCCTTGGTCTTTCTGTATGTAGGTACAAATTCAGATACACTTCAGTTTTTGAGGTTATTTTGACAACATAACAAAAATATGCACAAATAAGCTGGGTGAATTTGAACAACAGAGAACTCAACAGAATAAAATCAACCCCTAGCAAACTGGCAGGAGACAGACTCTATGTTATAGTGACCACATCCTACTGTTAATTCATAAGGAGCTGTCAGTGAAAAAAGCAAAAATAAAAGCAAAAAGAATAATTTTAAAGGGATAACCATTTCTAAGTGGTGCTGTGGACTGAACCCAGGGCCTTACCCAGGCTAGTCAAGAGCTCTACCATGGAGCAGCACACCCGAAACACATAAACCTTCTCCCAAACCTACATAATCCATACTAATGAACGCACAACTTTACATCTAAGTATTGCAATAGTTTGTGCCCACTATTCCAATATAATGAAACAGAGATATTTTTACAACATATTTCAGTCAGCTTTACAGTGAATCACATCATCAGGGAAATGGTAGTAACAAAAACCACCAATGTCACTAGGTTTTTCTGGTTTTTCTCCGGTACCGGGAACCGAACTCACGACCTTGCGCATGCCAGGCAGGCGCTTTTGCCGCTGAGCTAAATCCCCAGGCCCCACCAATGTCACTAGGGATGGTATAACTTTACATACTTCCATTCAGTCCCAAGCCCTCATGTTTTCTACTTTTGCCCTCTTACTTATATGAACATATTATATTCCCTTTTGATATACTGAATGAATGATTAGACCATTCTGTATTAAAGATATATAAGACAGAGAGAGGGAAAAGGAATGCAAAGTTAAGAACTGATGACGTATTTATATAGTCATTATCATATTATGTTCTCTATACATTGGTCTTCCTTTACCTAAGTTTAATCTTTTTGTTCTGAATAGTAAGAAATTTTTTTATGCTTTTGTCTTTTTATTTGCTCTCTCTCAATTATTATACCTTGCTATTATTATGGTTTTCTTATATAGATACTCTCCCTTGAAGTAGTTTACCTAGCAGTTTTGTAATGATTTTTAATTTTACATTTCTATTAGATTAAAAAATTTTCAGTACCTTTAGCTTTAAAATGTTGCAGGATTTGCCCTTCTGAGGAGTACTTACTTTGTAACTGACTGGAAGATCTTGACAATCTTGAGAACATCCACTGATTTTCTTACTCAGACACTCATTTATATGGCAGTTTCTCTCATCTGAGCCATCGCCGCAGTCATCCTTATTGTCACAGAGACCGCCCTTGGGAATGCACCTGCCATTTTTGCACATAAAAAATGAACTGTTGCATGACTGTTCTGGAAAAAGAAAATAAAACAAATGGAACATAAAGGGCATGCCGATTTTTATGTTACAATTGTGAAAATCATACACAAATGTGATCACTTTTCTGTCAAAATTACAATAAATACATATATTATATATATATATATTTATATATAAAGCTTTATAGTCAGTACAATATGTTCTACATAAACTAGAAAACCAAGGGTAAAGTATGTGTTCATGTTCTACACTTACTGCAACCTTAGCTTTAATTCAAAAATTAACATTCAAAATGAGTATCTGTAGAAAATTTCATGGTCTCTCTCTCTCTCTCTCTCTCTCTCATTTATACTATGAAGAATGTGTTGGTGAGTATGATGATAATTTGGCATTTCCTTCAAGCTACAGCAGTCTGAGAAATTATGCCACTAAAACTTAAGAATATAGAATAGGTAGATTCCAAAGTCCTTTTCCTTTCAGAAAATATAACACTGACATTTTTAAATAGGGCATAAAAAGGACATTGATGGTGAATAATAGATATTCTAAATATAGCTTTGGAAAGGAGTTCGGATTTTACAGCTGCTCATAACTGGATGATTTCAACATAACTCATTATCATACATGCTTTAAAAAGTCTATTAACATGTAAATGGCATAAGAAACGATCTAATTGAGTTTATTCTAAGATATATGACTATATAAGCAGCCTTTGGAAGAGTATAGTAATAAATAAATAAGTATATGTATAAATTTATGCTCAAATAATATGCAATTTGTTTCACATTGCCTAAGTGTGAATATTATTTCACAGGAAATCCTTTAAAATGCACTTATCATTTAAAATATTAACAGACACGTAATAATTGCACACATTTATGAGTCACAGTAGGATCACATGATGCTTTCATTAAATCTTAAATTATTTCACATTCGAGTTTTCAAATAGCCTCATATATGGAAATTGTCTTCATTTAAGATTTTATGAAAAAATGTGTTTTGAAGGTTGGTGGGACAGGGTAATGAATCTATCAGAGCCACTGCTTCAAATATTCACATACTTGACATAGAATTAAACTTCTAAAATGAGCCACAAAACACAATTTATTACTAGGATGATCTACATGATATCATTAGAGATATCACATCCTGCTAATTTGCATTCTCTTTCAGCGGATATCGTACTGGACAGAAATGTAGTCACAGTTTTGACACTAAAAAATAAATTTTGCAATAACATGGTGTTGGATATCTCTGTACCTGCATTTTTACACTTTGGGTTTAAAGGTGCTTCATCAGAATGGTCAGGACAGTCAAGGTCTCCATCACATTGCCACTGAGTGTTTAAAAGACATCGCCCATCAGCACAACGGAATTCTTCTGCACTGCACTCTCTGTATCCTGGAGAAAAAAAAGAAAGAAGACTGACTCATTCACATAATAAATATTAAATAAGACTTCATCCTCTTCATGCACAAATTCCTAATTTATTGTGAGTTTACTCATGCCTTCTCTGGGAAGTAATTCTCATTTCTTTCCCTTACATTAATTACAGATGTGAGACATATTTGTGGATTTAAAGATAAACTAGAAAATAAAGTTGAAGCAATGTACTCTTATTATCTGTAAGTTAAGAAATAAGAAATCAACATTTACTCTAACATAATCACCTCCTGTCTATATCTTAGGGATTTTCCTTAAAATGGAAAACAAAAATGAAAGCTATTACGATATTGTTTTCAAGACTGACTTGGTTAGGTACTGCAACAGAACATATGGATATACTGACTCTGAGCTATAACAGTAATTCTCAGGAGCTGTAATGTCATGTTTATGTTCAGGAAGCAGCAGCCCGAGTGTAAAGAAATTGTTAAAATGCAAAAAAAATTCAAAGTAAATTTATAGAGTAATAAGCAAGCACTACCAAAATTATCCTATATATTGATGCTTAGAGTCATTAAAAAAGTTTTATTCAAATACAAAATAAAACCCATCATTTGCTAATGTTCACATCTATGCCTATATTTATGTAAAAATCATTTCATTTTTAACATTGTTTTAAAATGGATTGTTTCCTATTTCCATTAACAATAAAAATAATCATTTCTCTTAGATCTTCTTGATAAATCTGGGTAAATGTTCTACTTTAAGAAGATTTTTGAAGACTTAATGAATGAACAAAATTTCCATGGAAAAATAATTCAACAGTGTGCAACTCATTTCAATGTTTATCACATTGCACCATAAAACTAGAAGTTTCTAAAATATACAGTTGCCATAATCCTTCTACCCAATCTCTGCTGCACTCCACCTTCCCAGGCTATAAATACATTCATGTTGTGCTACCCCTGTCACAATGAAAATCACCTATATTCTCTTCTTCTGTGCTGCTTATTTGTTTACTTAGCTTCTAGTTCAAAGTTAAACAATCAACATCTCATTTCTATAATATGTACTCTCTGAAATTTATCTTAGAGATAACAAATATCAAGCAGAAACCATCAAATTTAAAGGTGTCTCAAAAGTTATCTTTCTTTGCTTTTCTGCAGCATCTGACATTGTTGACCACATCACCTTGGAAGGAGTATCCTGAAAATACTTATAATCGACTCTCCTGGGGTTTTTTTGAACCTAGCTTTGCTGTCCCATTCTTACTTTCTATTCTTTCTACAGAAAATCCTCTCCCATTTAGCCCTAAAGTACTGCACATTTCAAGTTTTGGTCTGTTTTTCCCTCTTTTCTGTTCTACATGATGTGAATGTTCACCCTCTTTATGGTCACAAAATTAACATTATATATCCTCACCATAATTTTGATCTCTATAACCATATTTTCAAACACTTGGTATGTAATGGTATGTGATTGCCCGATTAACACTTCTCATCTGGAAAATCTAAAATGAATTTTTTCTCACGTTGCTTTCCTTCTGCATCAGAAAAACTGGTCCCTCACCTCCCTCCTCTAAAGCATTTTAATAGCAACCACCTACCAAATCGGCCAACCTAAAATTACTTTTTTTCTCACATCGAGCTGCAAATGAACTCTGAGACATTTGTAGCTTGTGTTCATTCTAGTCCACTATCCTTTTCCTGGTTCAGAACCACATTGCTGATCATCAGAACTATTCCTGTAACCTCCTAACCAGTTTATGTTCCCCTTATTTCTCTCCTCTGTGGCAATATTTCTTCCACTGCAGAAAATGATGGTTCAGGAGCATGAATTGTACTGTGGTATTCCCTTCTCAGGTTTCAAAATGTATGCTGGCCTCAGAGGCAAAACAATTAAATACAAATTATCTCACATTGTATTTGAGGCTCTTTCTAATCTAACTCCAATTTAACTTTTTAACTTCAACTTAACCTCCCAGAAAACTAATTGCTATTTATCAACCACATCAACTTGCAGGTCTTGGTCAACACAGCCAGAATTTAGCATGTGCCTGGAACTGCTCTACTTAACCACGGTAACTCTGGTGCTTTCTTAGCCCTAAGAGTTAAGCACTGTTGCTACATGCATTTTACAGATGAATGAAGTGAGGTGCAGGGTGGTTAAGTATTTTCTCAAGGGCACACAGCTACTAAGTGGCAAATCTTGGAACCCAGCTTGATTTTTCCATTTGTGATTTCTTCAAGTCATGCATCTACTTCATTCATTTTCATATCCACCACCTTTAATGTCTATAAGAAGGAAAATATTCAGAAATATCTCTGCTTCAGATTTATACTTTGAGTCATGAGCTAGGTTTTAAAATATCACATATAATACATGACTTAAAGGAGTAGTCATCCTAAAAACTGATATTCTCTGACTCCAAAGAGAGTTATATCAATGACCAAGGCTATATTTGTTGCCCAAGGGAGAGAAAAAGAAGACATTAAATCTAGCACCTACTATGACCGTATAAGAAATCTACACTTTCCATTACATGTTTGTGTATCTATTAATCTCCATGCACTGAAACATTTTACAAAACCACTAGCCTCACATAAATTTTGAACTTCAACTCACTATTTTAATGACTGTAAAGCTTATTTATTTTTTATCACAAAATGTATAAATATGGGTATATAGTATAAATATAGTATAGATAACAATTCTTTAAATACATATGTAATAAAAATATAGATTATGCAATGATAACATTAAAATTTAAGAGAGTATTGGAAGCCTCAACAATAAAGTCAAGGACAGTATTAAGTCATCAGGTTTTTCCTGATAATTCTAAATGGCACTCTTTTTCTCATTCAATTAACTGATTTGGCTACCACACTGGATAAGCCAGCCTTGAACTGTCTTTGAAGTTCAAAGTACTGCAAACCAAAGACATTTTAATAGACATTTTCCAGTAGGATTACTCCCTAAAAAAATATACTATCACTAGGAATGATTTTCAAATAAATGTACAATTTATGCTAGAGTTTACAAAATAATATGTGGTGTGGCTATTGTTGAATTTACCAGGCTTTAGTGACATTGATAACTGTGCTTGTTTTCATTATTTTAAAAATGTATTCCTGAGGTCATTGCAAATGTCTGTACCTGAGAATCCCCGTGTGCAAAAAGCTTGGCTACACTCACCACACTTCAGGGACTCATCAGAGCCATCTCCACAGTCATCGTCATGGTCGCAAACAAACTGCTTGGGAATGCAGACTTTATTGTGGCACATGAAAGCATTTTCATCACATGTATTATTGGGAGCTAAGGAAGGCATCACAAAAATAAAATTAGATGAAGTATTTTACCTTTTGGAAATTAGAATTTTAGAAAATAAGTAAAATCATTTCCAATAATTTGTAGTTATTCAGAGAAAGAGCTTCATTGACTATACAATAGATCAGATAATCTCATACTCTCGTGTATATATTAGAATTATACATACTAATTCAAAGACTATGCACAGGCATAACTCAAAATTTTAGTATTCATAATTTCAACTGCTACTCTAGAGTGAGCCTGACATTTCAGGCTGTGTAACAATTTGTAAGCTTTCAGAAGTATAAATGCAAATGTTCATGGGTTAGAATGAAATGACTTAGCTAACAAGTGTCTGCGTCTTTTTCTTTACTTGTGCCTATATTATGCCAGGAAAGTGGTTAAAGTATTCCTTCCTTGTGAAAAACGGAACTGAGCAGAGCACCAAGTTCTAGTGTTTGTGACAGAAGTGAAAACCTGGAGGACTGAGGAAGTTATTATTTTTAAAAGAAAATAAAACATTTGGGTGACTTCCAGAATGGGGTGCTGAATTACATAAAGGAAAGATCTACGATGCAATCAGTACCACAAGTACTCCATAAAATTACAGATACTGATCCTTAAAATGGAATATTGATCCTCCAGGAATACTGATCCGTGAGAGTAGTGCTCCAACAAGTGCCGTAACGACTGGGAAAATGGTTGATCCAAATGTGCAATAAAAATGTATACAGAAAAGATAAACTTTAGCACAATATGTATAGAAACGTAAGAGCATTGAAAAGACCATTTGTGTTCTTTTTAGTAAACTATTCCCATATATAAAAGGTAAATAGTAAGATCCAAGTTTCAGGATACCCCAAATGTTAAGAATCTGCCATATGTTATTGTAGATCAACGGAAAGAATAAAGCTTTGCTCTGCCACTTGTGTTTGTAACCTTGAGGAAGCTGTTTACTTCTTGGTACATCTGTTTCCTTATTGCTTTAATGAGGGTAATAAAATCCATCTGATGAATTTCTCCAAAGGACTAGATAAGATATGTGAATCAGATCTTCTCAAATTAGATATTTAATACATCCCTAGGCACTCTTCAAATTCCTATCTATACAATAATTATTTTTGGGAGGTTCCCCAAAACACTTCCTGTGATATTGTGGGAATTGAAATGTAAATAAGCAGCACCTATCACAATAATTGACATATAATGGGCACTTGAAACAAGTTAGGTGTTCGCCAATCCCTCCTATCCCCTTCTCAATAAGCAATTTCCTCTCCACAGAACACAGATCTCTTTGCTCAAGCCTTAAACTCTGTCATCACATAGTCTTGAAATCCTTCCATGAGACTTCTGGGATTTTTCATAGTATATTCCTTTGTGATGATCCTCTATCTTGTATATTCATCTTTTTCACTCTTGAAGAATTATAATTATTCTTTTACATGCCTATAACTTGCTTCAGACTTCATGGACTAAGCAATCTGACTTTAATTTCAGTAATTACTGACATGGAGCTGTAAGTCAGCAAGCCAGACACTGCTCTCTGAATACAATAAAGTATAATTTACTTTCAACAAATTTAGTTTAAAAAGCTATATAGAAATCACATGGGAAAGGCTTTAAAAATTGGCTTTGTAATCAAAGTAAAGCTCAGAGCTATTAATAACTCCTCTAACTTTGAACTCTGTGACAGCTTATATAACCCAAGTGAATTATGCCAATTCAAATATGTGAATTATTCTTTAAAATACTCAGCAACAGTGACTTACTTGGCATTAACGCTTTCAGGTCACTTGAGTACAATTTGCTGCATTTTAGCATAATTTACTTAATAGTACCCATGTGGTCCAAAGTGTTAATATGCCTCCTGGAGTGTTATCTTGCTACAATAGCAACAGCATACTGGGACCATCTGGATCCCTGAATTGATGCATAATCCTTTATTATGTAGCCCTCAGTGGCCCCATTGACCTTTATAGACACACAGATCAGTTTCAAGAGCAAAGTGAATCATTCTGCAACAATAGTTTAAGTTCTGTGCAAATAGGTCTGCTTCCAAGTTTTTTTTAAATTTTTTTTCCTGCTTTATATCCTCCTGTACACATACCAGCACATATCCTCACTTACATTTTGGCTCCAAACACAACATTTTAAAAAGTGGAAAATCAGCCACAGGACAGATGAGTGGCAGAATTCACATGAAGGAGCAGAACTCAGTACTACTTCTGATAAATTAAACAGCTCACAGATCTCTTATGTGACCTTGGCAGCGTCATTCAAATATTCTCTCCCTTCATTCTCCCGATCATGCAAAGGAATTTATCTCAATTTTTACTATTGCATAATTGCCTGAAAATTTCTCCAGATGACCCAGAGGCAGAAACTTAGTAAATTGTCTGACCTCCAGAGGTGTCCCTCTGATCCCTCAGCTACATTCAGCTATATCCAACTATTTTTACCTGACCTGAGGGTTAATACGCTATCTGTAGGGCTAATAGGTGTTTACTGACCTCCTGATCAGCTGTTATCCAAGATCAGAGTGGCCATTTATAGACTATCTGCACAAGGCAATCTGAAGGCTTTCATGATGATAGGGGTGGGATGTTAAAAAGAAATCACAACCTTACCACTGTCATGTGTGTAATGTATATTTATACTTTCCCAGAAGTGAGATGATAAATCTGCAATCATCAAGACGGTTTTTAAGTGAGTAGCAGCACCCTGAGTGCCTTAAATGCTGAACAGTAGTGAAGGGGGTTTGAGAACTACTGGTATAACAGCATTCCACCTCATTTAGTTTGATGCTATTAAGGGTCTGGATATTAAGGAAGTGGAGAAAAATATGCCACAGTGAATACTATAAAATCAAACACCCAAGGTGCTGTACAGTTTTTTAAAATTTTAATTTTTATTGGCACATTATTCCAGTGCAGAGTGATTAGAGTCCTCGTGGAGAATCGCACATAATGTATCCAGATTTTTTGAATCCCTTCCCTTTTCTTTCCCCATCTCTTGGCTCCCATTTTGCAAAAGATCTACCTCCTCCTTATTGGTGGGAATGTAAGCTAACACAAGAGCCGTGGAAAGCAGTATGGGAATTCCTCAGAAAAATAGAAATAGCCATTCCCCTTCTAAGTGTCTTCCAGAGAGAGTAAATATTGGAGATACGTGCACATTCATGTTTATAGCAGCAAAACTCATAATAGATAAGTCTTGGACGTAGTCTATATGCCCGTCAACAGAGGAAGGGAAAAAGAAAGTAAGGCATTTATAAATAACGGAGAACTATTCTGCCATGAACAAAGATACACTTCAACCATTTGCAGGAAAAGACATGCATATTGAGAGCATAATATTAAGCGAAATAAGCCAGACACACAAGCTTCAATATTGCATGGGTTCTCTTACAGGAGAAACACAAAATACAAATGAAGTACGCTATTTTTGCTGGCACAAATCCCTTAGTGAAAATGCATACCACAGCCTGCTGTGGACAGCTCGTCACTTCCATCTGGACAGTCACGCTCACCGTCGCAGAGCCAGTGTCGGGGCACGCAAGCGTGGGAGCCCTGGCAGCTGAACATGTCAGCAGCGCACGTGATGTCACCTTGACCCCAAAGAAAAGGGTTGTTAGGTCATTGTGTATCAGTAGAAAATGTCCATTGTTCACAATTAGTATCAAAAGGAAGGAAATGAAAAATGTTGCTTACAAAGAACTGTCTGCAGTTATTTAGAATCATCAAAGCTTATCCTTCCCCTGTAGATATATACACATTTTGTCTAAGAACATCCATCCCTAAGCTCAAGCGCTATATTTCTTAAAGTTACGTAGTAATAAATAATGTATGTCTCCTTGTAAAATATAGCAAAGTATAGAACGTCATAGGATAAGGCATCAATGGAAGCAATATTTCCCTAATTGTGAACCCATAAGGGTAGTAACAATAATAATAATAGTGGTCGTATAATAGTATTGCTTAATATGTGCACAGTAAATCAGATTTAATCCTTGCACGATTTCATCCAGTAGAATCATTATCACTATCAGTTTCATCACACAGATAGATAGGATTTTAGGCTTTAAGGACTCTGAGCTGGAAGTGCAAACCTGACACCTGAGCACCTTCTCCTGGCCACTAATTTCATTATTGTTCCTTCCCACTTTGTGCTGTTGGAAAGAAAAGATATATTCCTGTGCCCTTTGCTTTTACCCAAGTAATGAACATAATCCATCTTTTCTTGGTTTTATCAATTTAATGTTGCTTTAGGTGTCTGATGCTGTTTTTGTAATATATGAAGCAAAGAAAGAAAAGCTTTTGACTTTGATTCTACATTACGGGGGCCATACAGAGCATCTCTTTTCTACTCTTGACAGGAGCATTGTCAAATCAGGTGACAAACGACCCTTTCTCCTGTTTCCATACCTGTGTGTGTGTGTGTGTGTGTGTGTGTGTGTGTGTGTGTATGTGGGGATTATTTGGTGCTTATAAGAAGTATTAGTTGAATGAATTAACATGACCCTCGGTCTTACTCTTTCCTCTTTCACTGTCTTGTGGAACAGGTACCATAATAGGTGCTTAAAACTCTACTTTTGGAATTATTAAAAATATTTTCCATTTCCAGAAAGAAAATATGACTGATTTGGTGAATGGAAGATATTTATTTCCAGTCACCCAAAGAAGTGACCAGTATGATGTAAGTAAGTAATTCTTATCACCTTACTTTTCCACCATGCAGTTATTATGAGCAGAAAATGCTTTTTAAAGCAGTATTTTAAAAATAGGTCGCATCGAGTTATCAAAAGAAAATTTTTTCCAACATAAACACGAATTTTCTTGTCATATACATTAGGCTGAAGCACAGCATGGCAACTAAATGTTCAAATATGTCCTAGGTAATTGAAATTTATTCATTTGACTCAGAATTGGTTCTTTAATAGGATGAGGTTAAAATAGGGTTTCCTGGGCCCAAGAGGTAGCTCAGTTGCACAGCACCTACCTGGCAAGTGTGAGGCCCTGAGTTTGATTCCCAGTACCAAAAAAAAAAAGGGGGGGGTGCGCTATTGTTTGAAGAAATGGAAAAATAATTTACAGAGTAAATGTTGCTTTCATTTAAGAAGACATTCACATACTTTTACATCTTTAGGATTCTATAATGAAATTTTTTCCTGTATAAAGTAGTTTAATATAGTTCCTCTGCATTATCTCTCTTTCCAAGCGTACTCTTGAACATACGGTTTTAGGTTCAATTTTTATTATTATACTCATAAGTCAATGCTTTACTTTCTATCATAGTTCTAATATTTTGCTTATTTTTTAAAAACTGCATTTTTTTCTACTAAGGAAGTTGTGATCAATGCAAATTTTCTTCTCTCCTTCCATATTTTTATTGCAATCTCTTCCCAAAGAAGACATAATAGAAAGAGTACTAATTTGGCTATGGAGAAATTTATTTCTTCCTGGCCTTGGTGAAAACTAGGGTCTGAAACTCCCTATCTTTAAAGGGAGGGGTAGGATGAGACAATTACAAAGATATCTCCAGCTATAAAGTGGCATAAGTTCTTGGCAGTTAATGTACTGGTTCTCTTGGTAGTATTCAACAGATCCTATATTAAGAATATGCCAAAATAGAGTATATAACTGAAGAAAAAAATGGGCCAAAACAAAATTGCTAACTTCATTTCATAGTTGTTACTTCACCTGTACATATATCCCCTTCCTCAGGGAAAATAAACCCAAGGGAGAGGATAGACAAGTTGGTGGGATTTCACTGGGTACATCTGTTCTCCTGCTCAGAGTATAACTGTTGGCTGGAGGAAGTTGTTACTCTATTTAATATTTTGGAAACTGGAATTCTGCTCCTACCTCTGACATCACTAATTAGCCAAGTGACTTCAGGTAAATTTATTAATTTCTTAAATTTCTCTATTTTCTTCAACAATTAAGGTGGGCTAGGTTATGGCTTCCAGAAGATCTTCAATTTCCCAAGTCATAATTACTATGTGGTTATTAAGAAAGCATATGTTCATATCCATGTCAGAATGTTTGCAGTTGGAGATTAAGAAAATACATTTTTGTCATAAGTTGAGTACTACTAAGATAAGATTTTTATAATTTTTTACCTATTTTAAAATATGTGATTGTCTCTTTTTAAACTCATATTCAGTCTGACACAGTATCAAGTAGTATATAAAATATAGCATGTAAATAAATTAGTGACCTAAATGAAATGCAAAGGTAATACAAAATTAAACAGCATTTTGATGGCAGGTAAACATATTAATTGCCATTTCATTATTTCTGTTTTTTTATTTTATGGAAAAAAAGGTAAAACAAAATTTCATAACCAAATAATAGGAGAATACCAATAGCTAATGCATTGAACATTATTATATTCAGTTATTCAGTGTATAAGATATGGCCATTAAAATTTCTCTAATAAATGTTAGCACAAACCTTCCTTTTCAGTGAACTGAGAGAGTAATAGTATAACTGACTTGCATTGTTTTCCTTTTTCCCTTCTGTCCTTTCTCTTTTCCCCCATCCTAGACTCTTTTTCCCCATCCTAGACTCTTCTTCCTTTTGAACAATTTCTTCCTCATCATTTTTTAAAAGCACAATAAGGACACCAACACACACATGAGAGACAGAGAGAGACAGAGAGATGGAGACACAGAGAAAGAGCGAGAGCAATTACAGTAGCACATTCACAAAAGGAACAAAGTGAAAGAAACCATGTTATCACACAGCCTGAGAATACGGACAAGGGTGAACTGAACTCTTCATGGCTTTAACCTTTGCCACTTCTACTATACTGCGTCCACCCAGAAAGCACAAAGAAACCAATGGAGCCATGGAGTGTAGAGTTAAACAAAAAATTGAAGGCAAGATGATTTCACACACTGGAAACATATGTCTCCCATTGTGAATAGGCAAACTTTGGGTTAAAATTAATGAAAGAGATTGGGAAACCATCTAGTCACTATTATTGTCATGTTCAGAGCTTTTGATTCTGATCTCTGTTTATATTTGTCTTGTATAAAATGTTTCAGTTGTGTAAATGAAAAGTAGATTTTGAATGGTGTACAAGAAAATGAGTTGCCTGTTTTTAGGAGATACTGTTATATTATCATTGTTAGAAGATATCATTGTTATATGACAGAGAAATTCAGTTTAGGTCGAGTATTACAGAATATTGCCTCCCCCTACTGTAGTGAGCTATAAAGCTGGCCATGATGCCTGAATTTGAAAAAGCTTAAGCACACTTAACTTTTTGTGTTCACCTTATTCAGTAACTCCAGTCCTTGTCTTTCTAAAATGAGGATAATTAACAGCAACAAAATAGAACTGAGGTAGTGAATAAAAAAATAGCTACAGCTACACAAATATATGAAAACAAATCAGATGAACAAATAAATTAGTTAAATGCCAGAACAATTATAACAAATTCATGGAGACTAGATCGCTTCATTCTCTTAACATAAGAAATTCAGTCAATAATTCCATTTTAACCCTGTTACATGATTGTGACTATTAAGAGACAAATTTACTGGTTTTGTCACTGACACATAGTAGGTAAATACAGACATCTAACACTAAGACCTCCAGTTCTATGATGTTGAATTTTAAAACATATTTATAAACCATGCACACTAGATACCTTCTCTTACTCGTCATTTAAAATATTGGAAAAATAAAGAACAGTATAAAGTATACATGCAGATGCACAAGAAAAACAGTCTATGTGGTTTTGGACAGTTTAATTTCTTACCAAAATTCAGAAGGCTAGATGGCATTACATAACAAGAATTATGAGAAAAAAATACTTGAATATTTGACCCCATAACTTTAATTATTGAGATTCAATCCAAAGAAGTCATTGAAAATTAGAAATAAAATGTACAGGTACACTACAGTCACGATATAAATCTTAATATTGAATAACAACTATATTCAGAAAAACAGTAAATAGGTGCCCTGAAAGTAATATATGTTGACAAGCTCAGTATAATATAATATACTATAATTAATATATTTATAAGATTAGTACATCAGAAAAAAGTTTTCTATATGCTTTAAAAAATCTTAAATACTGGATAATAACTATAGGTGTAAAGAATAATAGGTGATCACAAAAACTGATGAAACCACCTGTACTGTTAGCACGCTGGGAGACAGAGGCAGAAGCTCTGTAGGTTGATGTCCAGCTACAGCTAAGGGGAAAGGCCCCGAGTTCAACCTCCATGACCCCCAATACACTAATATATAAGTAAGAAAGACGAAATTGGTGAGAACAGCTACATGGCAATATGCAATCTCCACATAAAAATAAGCTTAATGCAGTAGCAGGTGGAGTTTTGTGTATGCTTTAAAAGGACCGCACCTACGAATTGAGAACATAAAACAAGCAACTCACCACAAATGCTGTCGCTCTCGTCCAGCCCGTTCCCACAGTCATCCTCCCCATCACAAATCCAGTGCTTAGAAATGCACTTCTGAGCAGAGCAGGCAAACTGGCTCCAAGAGCAAGAAGAATCTAGAAGACAAAAAGTACGTTTGTTTTAAGGTGGAACAGCCCAGAGAAATACCTTCCTGGGCTCTATTTCACTGCAGAGTGACATTTCCATAAAAAGAATGTATATTTTGAAAAACAAGGAGAGAGTTTGAATGTTTTTATCATGAAATTATAAATGTTTGAGGGTGTACTTGTGTGTACGCTTACTTTGAGCATTATACGAAGTATTTGTGTGTCAAACATCACATGGTACTATACAAGTCTGTGTAATTATAATGTATCAATTATAAAAAAATACTTAGATTATCTTAAGATAGATAAGACACTGATAATGTTCTCTCTCAGGCTTTGCTAAAGTCAACCACCATAGCCTAAAGCCAAATCCCTCTTCTATATAACAGCTGCATATAAACTTTGACAACAGCTTGTGTATCCCTGTTTCTTTCAACATGGCCCCCATAGGGCTTGATTGGAGCTAGTGTATGTGCAAGATTCTCTCCTCTGATTATATTCCTCATTGCCATTTTTAAAAATGCATGACATGCAGAGAGTTATAAAACAAATATACCTTTAGTAACTGCTTTTAAGGTTAAATCTATTTTTGATCAAATAAGAAAAATGTTTACATCTTTAACAAGGCAAGAATATAATGGAATTTTAAAGTTTATTTTTAAAGGCCAGTTGATTAAGGAGGTTTTAGATTGATAACCCCACAATTTTATATTTGTAGATACCTCACACACTGATGCTGTAGTATTACTTCCCTGGAAAGAGTTGAGTTTGTTACACTTGATGAAAAACATTCCAAAATTCAAAGAATGGCTGTTATTTTCTTGCCAGATTATGTGTTGGTAATAATAACTTGCTCTATTTACTCCTTACATCAATTTTGTATACATTCTCCGACCCTTACTTACCCCTCCCACTACATCCAGGACATTTATCATCAGAAATATTCAAAAATGAAATTCTCTCAGCTTCAACTTTCAAAACATAAATTACAGTAGCTATGACAATTTCAATGTTAATCTTGAAAGTAATTTATAAAACTTTGCATTTCCTACCTAAAATGTTTCATTAGAGTACTTATGAAGAAACAAATATAAAAAACCAATGTCTTGGTAAAACAAAATCAAAGAAAGATATAATCACATATTTGCTGTTTGTTTAGAAATTATGAATCCACATAAAGTGTATTTGAAGATCTTTGTCAGTCTTCTTCAGAATCTGGCTCAAATGTAAAGATATATAAGATCTGAATCAAACAAAATTTACTTTTTCATTTCTTGATGACATTTACTTTCAGGAGAGTTTGACATTTGATAAAAGATCTATTTGTTAATCTTTTCCTCACTGTCTATTCACTACGGTGCATGTTATTTGTATTAAAAGAAAATAATGAATATGCAGTTTATACTCCTCTAGGAAATACTTTTGTCCAGCAAATAGTAAAATCCATTAATTTTACCAAATAAACTTGAAAATCTTTCTTACTGTGACACTGTAAAATGAAATGAACACAAACCAAAAGTAGAAGGCAGAGTGTAAGGAATAAGGACTTGAAGAAATAGTAGTTTAAGAATACTATTTACAGGTACATACACAATACAAATTTTTAAATAATGATGTAATTGCCAATTATTTTAAATAATGATGTAATTGCCAAGTATAGTGAATAATATACAGTCTACCAAAAAATGTATACTCACTTCAACAGTTCACTGTACTAATAAATGTCTAGAAGCTAATGACTACCACTTTGAACACATCTCGCAATTGTAGAGGCCAAAGGTAACATGCATTAATCTCATGATATCTCAATAAATTTAGCATTAAAATATTTATACAAGTTTTTCTTTTCCTGATGTATATTTTTGGTGGACTCTGTATACATCTTTAGTTTTAATAGCAGGAAGTAAATATGTTAGATAGCATCTTCAGTTAATGAATCAGGAAATGAAAATATAAGTATATTATTTATGGTGGAATCCACTCAGTAAAGGTAGAAAAGTTTAAAATTCTTGGAAAGAGGACTGTTTTACTTCGTTATATCTCTACAGTTTTACTGCAATTTTTTTGCAATTTTATATTATTTATTAAAATTGAAGATTGACATTAAAATCAGTTAATGCTGCTTTTTAAAAAAGCCTTGTATAAGAGAAGCCAGTACACAGGTAATAACGGTTCACAGAGGTCAGTCCAGACGGAATGTCTCACCACAGTGGAGCTCATCAAGTCCATCCTCACAGTCTTTCTGCCCATCACATATCCATGTATTCAAAATGCATCTTCCACTAGGACAACCAAAATAATTTTCTTCACATTTGTGTTTGTTTTGAACTGTGATAAAATATAAATGTAATGTCAAATAATTTATTCTGAAACATCCACACTAGATGTAGGTAAAATATTAATACTCTGTGAATTGGAGAAGACAAGTAGGAAGCTATCAACTAAAAAATATCTGAGGTGTTCAAATTAGGAATGCCAAGGTTGTGAAAACCAAGGGATGACCTAGAAACTGTCACAAACTGGAGGGGACTGGAGGGGAGACAGGATAACCAAATACAATTCAGAATCGGGTCCTGGACCAAAAAGAGGTTACTGACTGAAAAAAAAAAAAAAAAGGCTAAATCAAGAGTGTAGAGTCAATGGTGGTGAACCTATGGCATGCATGTTATTTTTCTTTTAAGACAAAAGATGTTAGTGTAGGAATTTTTTCTAATCTGAAACCTCAGAATTCAGGCTGAATTGGCATGCTGGCACTTCGAAGTATAAGTAGGTTTTGGGTTGCAGTTTGGGGACTCATCTCTGAAAGGTTCACCATCCCCAGACTGGATAATAAAATCAAAATAAAACAAAATAACTGAAATGACTCTAAAAACACAGAGTCTAAGAATCTTATATATAGGAAAAATATTCTTAATTTCATATTCAGAACAAAAGTAGTGACAACAAGCAGAGATGAATCTTTCCTGAAAAACTATGGATTTAGTATTTCTGGTGCCCTCTGTTTTGAATAAGCTTTAATAGAAATGAAATAAATATTCTCTATTCTAAGGAAGAAAAGTAAGTCAAAATGGAATCTCTAAAATGATTATGCAGCTGGGAGTGTAAATCAGCACTGTAGCACAAGGTCAGCATGTGTGAGAGCCTGTGTTCCAATCCCAGTACCAAAAATATTACATAAATAAATAAATATAAAATTATACCCTATAAATATCATGTTAATAAAAAGTACGTATGTAAACATTTCTTTGTAAATTGTAATGCTTAAAGTAATCAAATTACTATCATTATAACTTCTAAGATTAAATACTGGTTATTTTCTCTTTACTTCGTATCATCTGCCACCTTCTATGTAAGGCTTTACGTAGCTTTAAACAGACCCGTAGTCAATTAGGAAGACAGTGTATATATATTAATCACATTATACTGGTCTATTATTAATATTTTAAAATAAAAATTATTCTTATTTTGTTGTGTAACAGAATAAAAATACATTTTTGAATGAATTGATCATGAAATAAAAAATTCTTGAATGTACTTTACAGCCAAGATTATTTAAGATGCTGTCTAGGTATGAGCTAGCTATAATATGAATACACTTGAATCACCTAATGCTGGCTTCCTGTCTGTCCAGCTGTCTCAAAAACCAGCTTTAGTATTCCTTTCTTATCCAATGAAAAGCCACTTTTCTCTATTGGTGTTGAAAGTTAACTGTTAAAATAATATATTCGTTCTAACAAGTGATAAAAACATGAAAAGGAAAATACTGATACTATGAATATCTGTCACATGTTGCCTTTAAGATTATTGCAAAAATTAACAATAACCATAATGTGGTAAGTAACATGCTACTGGAAAACAACATTTGTTACATAATTTGGACACCCAGTTTCTTAAGTCTAAAAATGAAATTTTATATTGAAAACTTTTTGTCTTTTTGAGACAGGGCTTCATTGTGCAGTTCAGCCTGCCTTGAACTCACTTTGAAGCCCAGGCCATCCTCAAACTCAAAGCAGTCCTACTGCCTCAGCCTCCAGAATGCTGAGATTATAGACATGAGCCACCATGTCCAGCTAAAATTTCTATGTAATTAAAAATATAATACTAAAAAAGTGAAAGTTCCAGTGAGTAACAACCAATTATCTGTAGAGAAGCTTCTCTACTTTCTCCAAGGATGTAGCTAGACTTTTCAAAACCAAAACATTAAATAAAAATGATATCATGGAAAGTTATACACTGTTGAGTAAAAAATTAAAATCAAGTATTAACCAATTAAGTGATAATCCAAGAACTATGACAAACAATTTTTCATAATAGACTGCATGCATGTGTGTTTATAAATTGATGTGCTGAATACCCACAACTTTATTTATTAGAACATTTCAAAACAAATTTTACATGTCAAAAACAATAGGGACCACCAAGTGCTAGCATGCCTTTAAATCTTCAAGGTGAGCACTGTTTTTCTTTCCCGAATTACCTGGGCACTTTAATTCATCTGAATAATCTCCACAGTCATTAGAGCCATCGCATATCCAGGTTGGCAGAACACACAGTGAGGTAGAATTGCATTTTATGAATCCTGCAGTTTTCACTCCAAGTTTATAGAAATGTGTGCAATCTGTATTATCTAGAAGGTTGTAAACAAAAGGAAATTGAAAACACCTCATTTATAAAGACTATGAGACCTCTATCTAGGTCATAGAGGCAGGAAAACTAACTTCATTTGCAGAATTAAATATGCAATTATCCTATACAGCAGGGTTAATTACGTATCAGTTCTGGACTAGGTTCAGTAAAAAGTTGGACAGTGTTCAACGCAGTGCCAAAGGTGTCCAGGCATGAGCAAGTCAAAAGGAAGGAAACGTCTTACTGCAGTTCTTTTCATCTGAAGCATCTGCACAATCTATGTTCTGGTTGCATCGTGCTGATCTTGGAATGCAAGTCCCATCTGCACAGCGGAACTCCACAGTGGCACAGGCTGAAACTAGAAAAGTGGGTAAATCAGTAAATGGATATGTGGGACAGAAAATAGCTCCTTGAGTTTTACAGTTTGAAGATTATAATTAATTCATATTATTTTACCTAGGTTTTTTTTTTTTTTTTTTTTTTTTTTTTTTTTTTTTTTTTTTTTTTTTTTTTTTTTTTTTTTTTTTTTACCAGGCTACCATGTCCATGCTGGGTTATATCCCTCTTACATGACTTCCCCTTCTCTAAAATTTTCCCTGTATTTTACTGTTGACGTACAGAATTGGGACAAAATTACATACTGTTCATGTTCCTGGATGCTACCTAAACTGTGGGTTCCATGACAGCAGGGACTGTGCATTGTTCGCGGTGGTAATACAAGCCCAGTAATGAGACAATAATAACAGATCAATGAACATTGCTGATCATTCTCTCTCCTGCCATCTTCTTTAGTGAAAGGCTATGACACTAATCAAATGATTGATTAAATGCCAATGAAAAATCCCAATCCCACTGATGGAGCATTTGTTTCTATGACACAAACAAAACACAGATAAAAAAAAGAACATACTGAGGACACCATTTGGCATTTGCTTTGTTACTTATAACAAACACCTGAACATTGCTAGAAAGTCATCTGTGCTGTAAATGCCCATACCACTAACATTTGTGATAGGAAACACTGTATGAATCACTCATACCAATCCTACCTGCAGATGTAATATTGTTATGTCTATTGTTATAAAAGTATGGCTCTGCAATTCCCTGTTTAGATAATATCAATTTCAATGTGCTGTCATTATAGACACTTTGTACAGAATGCCTATTTTTAATCATACATGGTATGTATTTTGAAATTCCTTATCTATTCATTACCATACAATGATTTTAAAAATGTTATAAGTAGGTACAAGGTATGCTATGTTTGTTAGATTAACTTAGGTAAATTTTTATACAACTTCAAATATTCCCAGGGCAATTACACTAAACTACAACCTTAAGGTTGATTAAGCCACTTTTAATAGTGTTGGTACTTTAAAGAAACTATTTAATTTTAAATAGAAGTAACAGCAAATTGTAAATGGTTAAAATGCTAATTTAAAATATGCAAAGTTTACTCAAGGGTGTATATGTCACTTGTATTTCATAATGCACCACTCCTATTATACTTAATTGTATCTTGAGATTGCATACTTATTTGTCTTTAAATGATAATTAGAATAAATGTTTTATTTACAATTTGCAATTATAATTGCTTCACTATTTTCTTTATTAAAAATAAATCCTAGCATGTGAAACACATAACGCCATTAAAGGTGGAGATAAATGCGTTGGTCCAAAACATAAAAAAACAGGGTTTTTTTTTTTCTTTTATATGTAGGAAAGAAAAATTTCTTCTCTCTTTTCTTCTATAGCATTTTATATTCAGTTTTTCCCCAATGGAAATAGTAAATCAGTATATAACATAGAATGTAATCATGTCATTGATTTTTGTTTTGTTTTTTACTTCACTGTCACTAATCTCTTTTTAGTTCTGTACTTGATACTTCTCTACAAAGTCTTTGTCTGGCAGACAGGATGCACTCCACTGAGAAACAACATTTTATATATAATATTTTTAGGAAATCCTGTAAAATTTTACCTCCTATCACCCTTGCATTTCTCACTTATGGTATACTGGAAGTTAAAGTTCAAGACTCCAAGGAGACAACAGCACCCTCTCCATAGCTCTTCCGAAACTTTCATAGAGAATCCCCTGCATGGTGTGAGGGGGCCCATCTAAGGTAGTAGTGGTAGATGAAAAGCCAGAGAGACAAACTAGGACTCCATAAACATGGGACATACCACGGCACCCAGTTAGGAACCCTGGAGCCTCTGTGTTTTTTATAGTTATGGGGTTTCAAATACAGTGTTGAAGCTCTGAGGTGGAAGAATGTGTATAGTATAGAACAACATGAGAGAAAAATGGGTCTAGTAGAACAAAGTCTTAGGCTGAATTCTGGAAGAAGCAAGAGAAAGAACTCTACATGGAAAGACATTGTAACTATGAAGTTCAGCAAAGTAGGTAGTAGATAGAATTTAAAAGAAAGGCATCAGAAAAGAGAGGAGAGGGGCTGGGGATTTAGCTCAGCGGCAAAGCGCCTGCCTGGCAAGTGCAAGGTCGTGAGTTCGGTTCCCGGTACTGGAGAAAAACCAAAAAAAGAAAAGAGGAGGGAGGTGGTCAGGGGAGTGAGACAGCAGTAGCAAATCTTTAGGATTTATTTTTTCCTTCCATTTTTTCAACTAACAGTCAGACCAATGAACCCTGGAAGGTTCTTCCAGCCAATTGCAGAGCTCAAGATGTGCAAATAGTAACACAATGTCTTAGAGCCACAGATTCCATGACTTAATACAGACTCTAAGAATGATTAGAGGCTTAAAAAGATGATGAATTGTGAAGGAATTGGACATATGAAGTGGTTGTGAAATTTTGCAAGCATAACGGGAAAGATACTGGTAAAGGTTGATACCTCTTGCATTAGTACGCAACAATAGGAGAAATCCAGACATAGAGAAATTTCATTAAGTAAGTGAACAAACTCTTTGCCCAAACCTCTCCATTTCTGTTGCCTGAACTATAATCCTTCCTTGCTTTATTTGGGTAAGTGAGCTACTTGCAATCTGTTTCACCCTAAAGGTGTTTTTTTTTCGGGAGAAATACACTGGAATCTCTAATTTGTCAACTGAATATGAAAGTTTTCTGGCAGCTTGTCCTCAGGCTAAAAGTCTCCAAAAAAAGATAAGAAAAAATAACTTGATCCAAATAAAGATAAGCCAAGACAGAAACGCTAGACTTTTCCCTCCAGATTGTGCAACCAAAAAGGTAGCCTAGAAAATGTGTGTGAAAACATCCTGCAACTATAGCAAGAATAGCAATGAGATACTACAAAGGAAAAGATCTGACAGGGACTGTGGATCAAAAGTAGTAGCACAAAGAAATAACAGCACCCTCTACTTCATATATTTTCTTAATTTTCTACTTTTTCCACTTTCTTTTCACCCTGTCAGTTAAAATCTTTAATGGTATATGAAAGATGTAAACTCAATTTTGGCCTTTCTGTGAATCCTTGGATATTTCTTATAAATAACATAGACCTTCTTCTCTTCCAACTCCCTTCAACCATCCTATAGAAAGAGGAAAGAGGCAAGAAAAGAAAAAAAGCATTAGATTTGCTGTCATATCTCTATTCTTTTTATTTTTTAAGCACTTTTCTAATTTAATTTTTAATTTGCTGCTTAGTTTTGGAGTTTGGAAACACAAAAGTAATTTAATTTTTTCCCCAGTGTGTTCATCCTTTCCTTCCAGCTTGCTGTTGGTGGAATCTTTCAAAGTTTTCCTGTGAATTCAGGGAAGAATAATAAAAAAAAAAAAACCTCACTCATTTCCTTTTCTTCAAGTGGCTTCAGAACTTCAGTCTACCTGAAAGTATTCTATGGCCCAAGGAAATTCATGCACTTCCCCAGGGAAGTAATTTATCCTCATTTTAGCAGGGAAGAAGGTCCATCAAGCACTTTCCCTGAATCTACTTACTCAATCTGTCACTCACCTCAAGAGGAATACAAAATGACAAACATTTTGACAACTCTTCTTATCCATCCCAGAAAGCCTAAAGTCTAAAACTTTCAGTCATGAAAGAAAACCCTTAAAGAGGCAGTAAATAAAAGATTGATGAGGATTTAAGCTTTTTCTTTGCCTCCAGGAGAGAAGAAACCAAAAAATAATTCCTTATAACCTGCATTTTCACTCTGTAAGTAGACACTCTGCCCTAGTGGAATTTTAAAAAAGTAGTAACAGTTACCATAGAAGTATAAATGAACAAATGTACAGTGATTCTTCAAATATAGGGTCCTATCGTAGCCTCTCACTTCAGCCTATCAAATCTTGACTAATCATATGTCAATTTCTGATCATACTACTGTATATTGTTTTGTTTTATTTTGGTTCAAAACAATAGAATATTTGTACGTCTCATATAAGTGCAGAAAAATGGTGCATCCCAGTGTCTCATTAACTTTAGCAAGTGAGAAGTAACTGGAAAACATGGAGAGAGAATGTTTCTCATTCTCTTTAAGTCCTTACACATGCCATTTCCTTCATCATCATTTTGTGCTAAGAGGGAGAGGCTTGCGGGATACAGGCAGAGGTACAGCTCTGTATACAGCCTGCTTTATAAAATGCAAAGGGGTCTTCCTTCCCTGGCTTGAAGAACGTCCTTCAAGGACACTATGCGACCAAATTCAAGATAAGAGAAAAATCAAACCAAGACTATACAACTGAAATGAGTAGTCTTTCTTTTTTTGTTTGTTTTTTTTTTCCAGTACCGGGAATCGAACTCACGACCTTGCCAGGCAGGCGCTGTGCCGCTGAGCTAAATCCCCAGCCCCCAAGTAGTCTTTCCATTAAAAAGCTAAGTGTTTGTTTAACTATAGAACTTGATTCAGGTACACACACTAACTACTGGTAAGTAATAAAGTCTGTGTGTAGAGAAACAATTTTAGTTTCAAATATTCTTTATGTAAGAAGAACTTTAAATCTTATGTTTTATTAATTTTAAGGTATCCAACTGCTATGCTTTTTACACTATCGTTATTACAGCAGAAAGATTAGGACAGAAACTTAATACACAAACTTAATCTTTTATGCCTAAGAACACGACTGAGACAGGCATAACATGGAATGAAATTTTTTGACTGTAAAAGGGAAAAATGACATGTGAAAGTTTTTTCTTGTTATTCAACAACTTATATTGATATCATCAGGCAAAATAAACCTGTCTTTACTAACTGCTTCAGTTTCCCACCTAAGAATTTAATAATCTTCTAATACCACTTACCAAGTACAATATATCATAAATCAAAACACACCAATTTATTTAGCACTTTTGAAAATAAAGTTTCATTTCCTAAGAAAACCCATAGTAACGTGAAACTTCAATAGTTTCATTAGAAAAATTTTGCTTTAAACTGTACCTTATATATTTATATTTCAATTCCTTCATATTCTATCTTTATATTTTTACCATTTTATTTAATGTCTTTAATGTATTCATTTCTGCTTGCAAATAATAAATAGAAACTCCCCATTCCTCCGTCTTCTAGTGTCTTTTTCTCCATTCTTCCAAATGCTTATCCATCTCCCTCTACCTACGTTTAGCATCTGTAATTTTAATCATTTATAGATAAGGTAAGTAATAGGTGACTTAATTCGAAAATGAAAGTAGCACTTCCGAAACTGTCAAGTTTAGATACTCATAAAGCCAAGTGTTTTCCGCAAGTCCCAGGATGTAAGAGGCCGCAGAGTAACATCTCACACTTGCACACACTTCCAGAGTGGGTGATTTGTATCCCTTCTGCTCTTCCTTACTTCTGCACCGCCTGCTCATCACAACTGAGCCTTTACCACCAATCTTTTCTGAAAACACGGCACATTTATTGTCTTTATTCCTTTATTTTCTGCCGCAGTGCAATGATCTGCCTTTTTTGTAACATTTCACTGAAAATATGTTCGTTACTTACAGTGGGCACTTGTAGCCCATAATTACTTTCTTACCCCTTCTGTAACCCTTTGAAATGCTGAATGATTCTCCTTTCATAGAAAATAATTCATTATGAACATCCTTCTGTAAGTCCTATGCTCTACTTTTTTTTTTTAATAATAGCGCAATTACTTTAAAAATATTTACGGGTACTCCTGGTGCTCTCTCTGAAAGCAAACATGACTCTGTATATTGTGAGATTTTTCTCCGTAAGGAGTCCACAATCAATATTTCTAGAGTAACTGTCCCATCTATGCTCCAGATCTCTATCTTTGTCTTTGAAATACCTGCATTTGAATGTCTATAGTTCTCCAGTTTCAGGATGGAAGTATTCCTCCTTACCTTATTCCAATTCCAACTCAAACAAAAGACTCACAAGTATAATAAACACAATAAAACAAATAATAATTTTATCAGGTCAAAATGATCCCAAATTTCTGGTGTTAATTATCTTGTTATTTATTTGTTTATTTTCCTTTTGTCATATACATTACCCAAGATTTTTCATGTTATGTTTTGAAAACACTGTTAAAGCCCCTGGATTTTTACCTTCCAATGCATGTGAGAGAGTCCTGTTTTATCTCTGTGATCTCATTGTTATAGTTTTCCTTTACCTAAATGTATTTCTTTTCTTTTTAAAAATTAATGAAAATTTGATTTGCCCTGCTTTAAACCTCCAGCAACTTTCTGGTGAATATGAGACAAAGTCAAATACCACCAGGCACAAAGAGCACCTTCATGTCCTGTTCCCTTCCTGTAATTTGCTTATTGTTTTTTTTCTATTTGTTTAACCAGTCTTCTATATAATCTTTTTTTTTTTTTTTTTGGTTTTTCTCCAGTACCGGGAACCGAACTCACGACCTTGCGCTTGCCAGGCAGGCGCTTTTTGCCGCTGAGCTAAATCCCCAGCCCCGAGCTAAATCCCCAGCCCCTCTTCTATATAATCTAATGCTCTTTGTAGCTTTCAATTTTGTTCCGTCTATTGGAACTGTCTTCTGTTTTTGTGTTCTACCTTATTTATCCTTAAATACTCAGATTAAATTTGATGTAGTATTTGGAACTTTGAAGGTACTTTCAAGCCACACACACAAAAAAAGTGTGTTCTTATGTGTGCAATCATGGTACCTTATGTATCTCTTCATCTATTTACATTACAGTCTGTCACTTAGGGTTTGAACTGCTTCAGGGTAAGAAAGACATATTTATTAATTCTGTGTCTCAGTCCTTAATGCAGGGCACTCAAAGCAATGTGTTTGATAACTGGAAATACTTTTAAAAGGAGATTGCTTTGAAAATATATGTTCGATCCAGATTTTAAAAGGCCATAAATGTCAGACTAAAAAAATTGCCATTTAGTCTGCCAACACTGGTATTCCACTCATAATTTTTTCACCAGATTTTTAAAAAGTTATGGTTTTTTAAAATGAAATGTTTTCATGGCATTTACCATATGTTAAGTACTATTTTGAGAATTATTTGCTATTTAGTTTAATATCTGTATTATTTTTATATCAATATTATTTATATGAATATTATTTAATATCAATATTACTTTTCCTAACTCACAGTTCAGAACACAGAAACCCAGATAGGTTAGTAATGTATACAAATGTAGACAGTGAATGTTGAGGTAAGGGTTTTAAACTAGTTAGTGTGGTTTGACGATGTGCTGCAGCAGTCACTGTGAGAAATATTAAACAGAATTAGCCTGATTAACAGTATAGGAATAAAATGGGAAAATTATAGGCTGAGAATTCATTAAAAAGGTGCTCAATCCAAGTTTATCACGCATAGACGTGGACGATATCTCAGTTAGAAGGTTTGTTGATGATTAAGTACAGAGGTAGAAAAGCACCCAAGAAGAAGGCCTGAAGGTTAGCGCCGAAGTTTCACAGCATTCATTAGGATCATGAGAATAATAAGGAGTTAAAGAATGAGGGCAAACATTTTTGGAGCAGTAAATTCAATACTGCACATTTTTAGTAGAAAAATGAAGAAAATAGTGATGTAGAACAGGAAGTGAGAAATGTAAGTTTAAAAGTGAGCAAAATAGTAGAAACAGAAATATAGGCACAACATTTAAGTTGAATTATTTTTAAATGATTTATAAAAATTATACCATGGACTACCATGGTATGGACTACCATGTGATGGTTTGTGATTTATGTACATTGTGTAAAGTTTAAATCAAGTTAAACATAACTATCTCCCCAGGAATTTATGGGAAAACTTTCAAAAACCTTTATTCTAGTCTTTGGAAATACTGCATGTATTACATAATTGTTATCTATATTCATCCTACAATAGCACACCAAAACTTATTGCTCTTACCCACCTGTAGTTTTATAGTCATTGACCACTATTGGCTTTCTCACCAATTCTCAACTCCTCTAAAACCCACTTTATAGAACTCCACGTATAAGTGAAATCATGTGTATCTCTTTGGCTGACTTAATTTCACATAACATAACCATCTCCAGTTCTACTCTAACAGCATTTAGCAAAATGTGGTCCATCAACGTTATTAGGTGTTTTGTACCAGGATGCAGTTCAGGAACAACCTTTGGAAAAGTTCACAAATCACGGCTAAAACAGTAAACAGTATTCATAGTGTAGTGCAAAAGGGTTTACCTTTACAGTCTAATTCATCAGAGTTGTCACCGCAGTCATCTTCCCCGTCACATAACTTGGCATGAGGAATGCAGCGGCGATTATGGCAAGGCTTAAAACCTCTTCGACAGCTTCTGTTTTCTTATGAATGAAATTAGAAACTCAAAATGAAAATCACAGATAACATTTCGTTCATAAAGACTAGTTTATAGATCTACTAAGTATTTACGGATCTACAAAACAAGTGCAGTTCAATATTAAAGTTTTGAATTATGTTTATCAATGATCAAGGCATAGCTCTTTCAAAAAAGATGTGTCCTGACTTAGTGTTTCATACCTGAAGATCCCTTGAACTTCTATCTACAGTATTGTCTCTTTACTTCTATCAAGTAGCACAGATATAAGCATATAATAAATATTTAATTCAGCATAATGAAATCGCTACCTCAAAGTAACAAGAACACTCCTTCTATGAAACTATTTACTTTTTCTCATGTGCAAACATTTTATAACAAGAAAAAAAAAACAGCAGGAGCACATCAGTTGCTGAATAAAAGAGAAACCTTAATATCAATAAAATTGATATCTTAAAATGCCACAGGGGGCCGGGGATATAGCTCAGCAGAACAAGGGCCTGCCTGGCAAGCACAAGGTCCTGAGTTCAATCTTGGTAACAAAAAGAAAAAAAATGCCATTGGCTTTTCTAAGATTGGTCTTTGCTTGTATTTATCTTAATGAAGTTCTCTAACCATTCTCTTTTTTGGCATAAAAACTGTAAATAACAGTGATAATAACTGTATTAAACACTCACTTTATGCCTGAATTTTTGTTCAGCATATATAAATACGTATTGGTTTATTTAATTCTTTCAAAAACCATTAAAGTTAGTTTTTTTTGTTGTAGGAAAGTAGAAGATAAAGAAGTGTGTTTTATCCCAGCAATCTCAAAGAACATTTGGGAATAAAGGTAAACCTCACATGTGATGCCAGAGCTTGCACTCGGTACCTGGGGTGGACAAACTACTAGTTACAGGTCAAATCAAGACCTCAGAGTAGTGTTGCATTGCTGTGGAGCTAACATGCTAGCTCTATTTTTAAAGGACTATAAAAATCAAAGTAAGAGTGAATGGTGGTCCACACCTATGATCCCAGCTCCTTAGGAGGTTAGGGCAGGAGGATTGCAAGTTTGAACCTATCCCGAACAATTTAGCAAGAACATGTCTCAAAAACATATTAATGAAAAGACTGTGAATTTTGCTCTTTGGTGCTCTTTGACCATGCCTGTGTTCAATCACTAGTACTACAATATACAAGTAAATACTTCATCATCATGAGATGAGCTACAAAATATACTCCTACAAAATGTATTTGGAGGATTCCTACATGAGAAACCAGATGATGATAATTACTATCATCAAAACACGTGAAAGCACAAATCTAAAAAAGAGAAAGAGACTCAAATTTCTACTCTATAATGTCAAAGAGTGTTAGTCGATGGCCTGAATTCCATTTTGTTCTAGTTTTACCTTTCTTTGGTTATTTAGGCCTGATTATTACCCAGAGAGTAGAACAAAGGAGAAAAACAGGAATGAAATGTAGCAATTACAGATGCCAATTCTAGAACTGTGCCTTACACACAATAAGACTAATTATAGATAATCTGTATAAATTCTACAGTATCTATTGATGATTGTACAAAGGTAAATTTCCAAGAAAAATATGATAGTAATAAAGATAACTGCTAGTTCTCTACTTCCAAGAGAGGGAGTTTGATTATCAGCTGGGCTTACCAATGGAAGCACTGTTGATAAAAGCCCAAGTTTGATGAACACTATAGACAAATCAATTAGTCTTTACAACAATAGACATGAGCCTCCATGGTAATCCTGGAGACATAAGTGAGGTGAAAAAGACGTTGATACCAACCCTACATATGCTATTGACTTAGTCATTGCTACCAAGTAAGCCTAAAATATCCAAGCAGCACAGATATTTCTGATATTTTAAAAACTATGAGCCTAAGGCATATTGCTAAAGATGAATTACTAGGAAGATCAAAAGACATGGTCCACCTTTGTTTTACTTTGTAGTCCCTGGATGGAAAAGCAGGCACAATTTTCAATGAATTCTATGGTTGTTCAATAGGAAATAAGGTGCTTATTTTAGCACAAGCAAAACCAAGTAAATTGCCTTGCATCTACTGTTAACAAGATACCCTCAAGGATTCATATGCACTTAGTAAAGAGACAGAGAAGCCAAAAACCATGAAAGTAACCAGAAATTTCTCTCTGCAATGAGACAAGCACATGTCAGACACTTACCACAGTAGAGCAGTTTTTCGTCTGATTTATCCTTACAGTGAGGGCTGCCATCACAGGTGAACTGATAGTCAATACACTCACCGTTCCCACACTCAAACTCTGAATAAATGTTGCAAGAGGAATTTTTAGCTGAAGGAATAAAAAGCCAATATTCTTTGGAACAATATGCTTTTTTGATACCATGGCAATTAACTTCCTTAACCTTTGTTATAAATATAATCTACAATTTATATAAACATGATATTCAATAAAGGGCAATGATTTGTGACATTTAGAAGACATTAACAAGGACACTTTATTGTTGTTCTTACTCTCCTTTGTAAATGTGTATGAGTTGCAAGGCTGTTTTTCTTTTATGCCTATTTGTGTATTTATTATTTGGTGATTGTATGTGTGTGGAGCAGAAGGGTAATTCAAATGTGAATGGCTATGCATAGAGTCCACCTTTAAGGTACACTTTTAGAAGTACAGGTTAAATGTGTTTTGTACATGCTGAGAGTGTTTTTGATTTTTCTCATTGGAATGTATTACATATTCCTTAAAACATTACTATTTCATGGGGAATTGAGGACCCACTTTTTAGTGCTTCACTTGAAGTATCAATTGTGTTCATTGCTTGCTCCATCTCCATCCTAGGCTACCTCCTCACCTAACTTCTGATGAAATCCTGGGGCAAATTCTATCATTTAGCAACATTGGAATGGCTCAAATCATACTCATATTGGTCTTGCTCCATTCACACGTGGAGATCTTGGGCAGACTCTATTTCCACCACAGGTGGCCAAGAGGTCCTCTGTGTGATGATTTGGTGGAATACAATGATGATCCAGAAAGCGTGTGCACCTGATGCTCATAGGCGCCCCCTAACCATAGTATATCGTCCCATTTGTGAAGCTCAGGATTTTCATAAAGAAACAGTTTGAACTTTGTATTTGGTTTGCCCTAATTTGTAAAGAGATCAACAATGACAGAATACAGAAAATCTTCTTTACAGCAAGTTCTTCTCTGAGGACTATGAGCTTGTAACCTTTGTGTATGTCTCTATTGGGGAAAATTAACTTGCTTCTATTCTTAATAATACATTCTACAGCAAACTTTCAAAATCCGGTCTTTTGGAGCGTGCTTTCTGCATCCATGCTCTGACTCCAAAGCTGAATGTGTATACACTGAAATCTTGAAATCCAGTTATATGTTTCATGGTAAAGGTCAGTAGAATTCATTTATCTCTGTAGTAGACAGGGCTTATTTTTAATTTGCTATCCATTTCTGAGCTTTATTTCAGGAATATTCAATTTAAAAGCCACTAATATTATATGAAATTTCCAGTGTTTTATTTTTATTATCCTAGATTTTAACTGTCTTAACACATATTCATATGTCTATGTTCCTGTCTATAATTTCTAATTTTAATTTTTCAATGGTCACAACAGTTTCCAAAGGTAAAGGCTTTCTTTTTGCAGTATAAACTTCACTTGTCAGTCAGTAGCTGAGGTAGAATGTCATTCTAGAGAAGGTAAAGAGAATTTAAAACATAAAAATATTATTAAGCTTAAAGGAAAATGAACTCAGAGGGATGATAATATTACTCGGTCAAAACATTTGTGATTGTGAACTGGAAAAATTTCAGATGCTTAACTGAACGTCTTTGACATTCCTGACATATTTTGAACATTTTAGATACAAGCTATGTATTGTTTCATTTCCAATGAGAAGTTTCTGGGATAGAAAGTGCTATATCCAGGGTTATAACCATAATTCCTTTGAGGAAAATTTACTTGGTCTGGAACTCACAATGATCCTCCTGCCTCAGCTTCCCGAGTGCTGGGATTACAGGCATGTGCCACCATGCCTGGCTAAGATTTTTCATGTTATGTGTTGAAAACACTGTTACAGCTCTCTACGTAAGGCTTTTACTTAATGAAAAAATGAGTATGACTTGAAAACATTTCTTGCTCAAGTGTATTCAGCTGAGGAAATTGTATTGATAGTTTTCTGTGTCTGTGCTCTGTGCTCTCTCTCATTCTTGTAAATGTCAAGAACTTTATATAATTATGTTTTCTATTCTTTCTTGTATTATGGGATTAGCAGTTGGGTGAACATGGTTAGCAATGTGGTGATGATGGAACTGCCTAATTTTTTTGTTAACTGTTATGACAACAAATGGTTTCCCTTCTTTTGTTTTCAGGTGTTAATCAATGGCCTTCAGGCCCTTTAATGTGACCATTAATGTTCATGGACGTCTCTGCATGAACTCATCCAGGTGTGGATGCAGATCTGCCACACACAATCTTATTTTTCAAAGATAGCTTTGAAAAGAAGTCAAGAGTTACTTTCCAATGGCTCTGCTGGACCATAAGATTTCAGTATGAAGGCACAATGGATAGTTCCACAATTTATCATCTCTGAGGAACCCAGGGTGACTGTACCCTTCCATTGGGAATATGAGTGTCTTATTTAAAATGGGAATATTAGTGTCTTATTTAAAATGATACTTACTGTCCGATTCATTTCTTCTCATCAGAAGAGAAGGACAGGTCACATAGCAGGGAGAATTGTATTTGATGTATATTGCAGAAATAAACCTCTGCTTTATACAAATAAACTTCATTGTTTTGAGCAAAGTCACTGCTTACACACTGGCCTGTACTGACCTGTGCTGAGTGATTCTAATGCATAGCTAACACTCCAGGCTTACAGGTGGCATTAGATCCAGACCATTACAACTGAAACCACAAAAGCCAAGGAGAAGAGAGCTAAAGCAATAGCCTGAACAACCCAGAGCAATGTTATGTGACAAAGAATGATGAGAATTTGTGGCTTGAATTAATGAAATTCACTATTGATATTTAAAATTCATTGATTAATAGCATCAATTTCTCCTTGTCTTTGAAGAGTGTTAAATAAAACAAACTCTATCACTTTTGCTGAGAGGTACCCCTTCAGTTTGCGGTACCAAAATGCAAAGTGAAAAGATATGTAATAGGTGGATGAGAAAAGCTTTCTGGTGGATGAAGATCAGAAGAAGATTAAAGATTAAGAAAAAATGACAGTTTTATAATGTAACCTTATCCAGCTTGGTTCATTTCCTAAGGCTCAAAGAAAAGAGGTAAGGGCATAGCAGAGAAAAAACTGTCAGTTTGGCACATTTTGGGAACAAGTTCCCCAATTTCCAACTAAATGCTTTTCTTCCCACCTTTCTCCCTTGCAAATAGTCTTAAAGTTAACAGGAAATTAACCTTTTTAAGTATTGTGTGCTAATTTTTTCATAGCAGTATTGGAACACTTCAACCATTATTTATTTTGGAAACAGTTTTGGAAACCTAACTGTTAATAAGTGTGTATGGTAATGGTACTAATTAAAGACTCTAATTCCTTCGGGAGGCATAAAGATCATGCAATGTTGCAACGTTACATTCTTAATTAACAGTTTGGAAATGATTACAAATAAGTTACACGATCCATTCTCTCTCATTTGCATACCGTGATGGACCCTGAGTGGTTTTACTGCAAGGCTACTGATATACTGTCTGTATTCTGGCTTTTTTCAGCTTTAATTAATTTTGTAATTGATTGATTCTCAAAGTCACAGCTATGAGATTTCAGATGATTATCCGCTGCAGATATTCTTTAGCTAGGCACAACGCCTTCCAGCGCGCAATCAGAGGGGTACAACTTTCATCACTGTCTTGGTTATCATTAACTATGGCATGGTGCTATCACTACATTAAACGGCAAGACAGTAGTAGAGAGATAAACTAACTGCACATCAGTCATAAACCTCTGAGCTTACACTGGAGGAGAATAAAAATATTAAATAGTTTTAATGAATGGGTATGCTGTGTTGAGTGGATATGTCAAATGACATTGTGATTCTCTTTACTCACTCGCACATCTGTGGCCCTCCAACAGTATCCGGTCTCCCCTGCAGGAACAATTGACTCTCCCCTCTGGAGTTAAAAGGCAGAGGTCGTGACAGCCTCCATTCAGTAGTGCACATGGAGAAAGTTCGCCTGCAATGAAGAGGCTTTATTGGTAAATTTGACTGGTATACCCATTCAGGGTTGTGTGTACAGGTGAATAGTAATCTGTTCAAGTGCCTCCACCTCTCAATGGCATCTCCTAAACAAAGAACATTCAGGATTTTTGAAAGTCTGAATGTTCTAAGTGGTATGCAAATTTAAGAAATGCATACCACAAAGCACTACATAGTTCTCCTAATGTTTGACAAAGATATCGTGGAAGCAAACATACTAGTCCCATTTGAAACCACACTGATGTTGCAGACTATACTTTAGGGTTACAATGATGGAAAAATTTTTAAACCCAAATGCAAAACTTGTCATGAGATATCATTATCCTAGCAACAATTCATGAGGAGTAACAGCGATCAGGATGAAATTCCAGGAACAAATTATTTCAAAGGAATTATTCCCCGAGTCATAATTACAGGACTGTAAGAGTTACTTGAACATTGCAGATAATTTTAATATATGAAATAGTCAAATTCTCAACTCTACCCCAAGAACTATGAGAAAACAAAATCCAATGAAGTATGACAAGAAAACACAGGTGTATTTCTGAGATATTCTATAACTAGGAAATAATTTTTCTCTTGTAACTTACAGGTATTGGTGTCATTGGCCACAGCTATGATCCCGATTGGCTGGTGTGGAATATCAGAACGAAGAATTTTTGTATCCCCGCCTGTATATTTGTTGGAACGCAGGATAGCTCTTCTTCCCCAGTCTGACCAGAAGATATAATTGTCATAAACTGCCAAACTAAGGAAAGTTCCTGGCCCAGATTTAACAATCACCTAGAATAAATAAAAATACACATTTTTACAATAAAAATAGTTATTCATATATCAACCTCCATCTTTGCTCCAAAAATAAGGAACTGGGATAACATGGATACATTTAATAGTAATTATTGGATAAAATATATTTCACTGAATGGGTTATCTGTACCTGCTTTATAGTTTACTTAAAATATTTTAATTACACTTATTATTTGCCAGAGTTATCTAAAGCACTTGGCATGAGAAGTCTTTCAGAATTCTGATTTTGAGATATTTGTATATAGAAAATAAGATAGAGTGTCCAAGTAAAAATATAAAGTCCATTAATGTTTATGAATATCTTATAGGCTGAAATCTATATCACTCAGTGTTTTCACTATGTCTGAGTTTTGACTGTGGCATGTCTTATGAGGTCAGATGCGGGATTTGCCACTTATGATGTCACTATAGTGTTCAAAAAGTGTTGGATTTTGGAGCATATTTCTTCTTGGATTTCCTAAGTAGAGGTGTTCAAACAATAATTCTACTTTATCATTCTGCTGGTGAAAACTAGATTATTTTTCAGTGTTAAATCCAAATCAACAATTCAAAATTATGAGACTCATTGTTGTGACTCTTGGGTGCTTGCTGTACCTCAGGAATGTGGAAAAGATAGCAAGAGACTAGAGCCAGGTCAGGTGGAGGTGACTTCTATCCCTGTTGGGTAAGAGGACCTGAATAACATTAGGGGTGTTTGTTTTTGCCTTTGCAAAGTTAGTATCAGGGACAGGAGGTTGCCTAGCAACTAATGACTCCATTGTCCAGGCAGGATGCTTTTCTCAGGACCAAGGTAGCTTGACTGCTTTCTACACTGTGGCCATGTCTTGCCTCCATACATGTAACACATTTCCAGTTCCAGCCGCTCCCACAACTAATATGACCAAAAATTTCTATTAAGCAATCACCAGACCTGTACCACTTATCAAATTCTCAAAATGTACAGGGTGTACAGAGGATAGAAAGTTCTAGTTTCTTCCTTCAACAAGCTTACAGTACAAATAAAGGAGATGCATTTATACTTACTATGAAAAAAAAAAAAGTAGCAAAGACCAAATCTGCAGTCAAACCAATGTGGTTAAAAAGAATCCAGATTTATATTCCTGTAAAACTAAGAAACTGAAAAGAAAAATACTACTGAGGGCCTCTCAATGCTGTGAAAGGTGGGTGATGAAATGTAGTGATTCCTGAGTAACAAGAAATTAGTGACGTGGATTTCATAGCAGCTACACTTAGTACAGAGGAACCCAAAGAGGCCAGGGAACTCCCCAAGTGACAGTGATGGAGGAGGAGAGTAATGAAGAGATAGCAGCGCTAAGGTCACAGGACAGCGGCAGCGGGGACAGAGTTCATCACAGAGACCGGTGAATATCTGTGGGACTCCTCCTGGAGGTTCAGCGAAGTGCTGACGAGAAGGCTGTGAGGTGTCTGCTCCAGGTTTGTGAAGGAACTTCAGGAAAGGACCGGAGAGCACAAAGTCTATACATGTCCAGGAATCACGTCTGTTTACACTGCTACACTCAGACCTGCTCTGCTGAGTAGGCTGCTGCGTAGCCTCTGTAGAAGTTTTACCTTTGCAGTGAAGAATAATTAGCCCTAAATACTGCTCTAGTCTCACAAACCTTAAAACAAGGGCTAAAAGAATTAAATTGTTTTCTGATACCTGAACTATCTCCTAAAATCAAATTCAGGAATTTTTATGGGAGTATAAAAATTTGTATCACTAAACTACTCTTCAAGAAAATTTTTAAAAAGGGAAGAAATTGCAAATCAAAGATTTCAACTGCCATTTTTAGAACCTGGAAGACAAGTATATTAAACCCAAAGAAAAGAAAGAAAAAAAATAGAAAAACCAAAAGACCAGTGGGGTAATCAAAGAAACAGAAAATAGAGAAATTTCAGTAAAATAAAAAAAATAGGTTTATTAGTATCAACAAAATAGATAATGCCTCATAGTATAATGGGCTTTATGCTAATAATATGTATGAACTTAACGTAAAAATATACCTCTATATAAAATATACTAAAGCTACAGACACTACCAGAAATGACTTGAAAGGTACTGATATAGTTTGCTGTTTTATTTTGCTTGGTTTCATTAAGAGAAATCTGTGCCTTCCTCTTGTGGACAGATGGTGCGCAGAGAGATGCTGCAGCTCTTTTCGGAATCCACTGCAGCGAGGCGCAAGGCACAGACCTGCCCCGCAGAATAGCTGCATCTAAATAGCACCAGGTCATTCTCGGGGCAGAGTGCATTTGGGGAAGATGTTTCACTTTTTAAACTTTTAACTTTGCTCTTCTCCACCGGGCTTGAGCAAACCCTATTTTAACAAATTCAAAGAGTTTTTGTTAAGCAATCTGTGGGGATATTTTACAAATTTTATACAGCAATATAATGAGGTTGTGTACTTTAGCTATCAAAGTTAACTGTAGTAGTAACTTTTGTGATTTTTCACTCAAGATTTATTCCAAAATAATTTTTACTTGAAAACCAGATAAAGAAACCTAAGTAGTTTATGCTTTTGATACGCTGCTTCACTATTAAAATTCCAGATGGAGACCTCACTTGCTTACTGTTCCTTTTAACCAAAAAAAGAAAGACAGAAAGAACAGTGGAAGTCTTACGAAAAAGATGTTTACACAGAAATGATCATAAAGAAATAGATACTTCAAAAATCAAACACAAATTAAAATTACATAATGATTGAACTCAATAGATAAAATGATTATACAAGGCACTATGGTAAGTAGTTATAAAAATATCTTCATTAAATCTTTAAAATCATGAAGACAGAATTATTACCAGTTTTGTGCACACATAGAGAAGGTAAGGCTTTGACAGACTTTAGAACTTGTCAAATGTGATATACTTACCCAATGTGGGAGCTGGGGTTTTATACAAGGTTTAACTTTAGTATGTAATAGCAACTATTTTCCAAAAGTTTACCATATGGCTTGTACTATACAAATGTTTAATAATGAATGGTAAGGAAAATGTAATCTTTCTCCTATATGAGAAAATTTAGGAACAGAAAAATTAAGAAGCTCAACGAATGTTGCAAAGTTATACCCAGTGTTTATACAACTAAGCATCTGATACTGTCTCTACATCTCAATCTCATCCTTGTCATGTATCACCTTCTTAAAAATTAATACATTCTGTGGTTCAAATATTTATGGACTATTAAAATCCATATGGCTTGGAGAAACAAATAAACTAGGGAATATGGTAATTGAAAAAATAAGTCCCATTTCACTTACCCACTCTGTATCAAAGTCTAAATTATTCTGAAGTAATTCACAATGTCATCGTCTTGATTTCCCAAAACCCTGCCTACTTCATTTTAATTCACTGTTAATTACCCTTTATTAAAACAATTACTTCATTTTTCTGATTACATAAGTAGGTTTGATTCTGTAGAATACTATTTTACAAATTTAATGTAAATAAAAGTCACTTTGGGATTGGTTAAAATTCAGATTCTTATTCCCTAAGTTTGAAATGGAAAGTGATATTTTATATTTTTAACAAGCCTTCAGGTAATGTTAATGCCGGGAGCCCATGTTGGGGGAGATGAATTATAAATGAGAGAAAAGTGTAAAAAATGAAATAATCTTACCACAGAAATAATATAACTCACCATTTTGCATTAAAATATATTTCTTTGATTTTATTCTATATAAATTGACATCATAGCATCTGCTTTTGTATTCGTTTAAAGTGAGTGGGTAGCGTTTCCACTATAGCCCAATGGGGAAAGATCACTGCAGCGCAAATCTCCCACCCATTACAGCATTCCAATAATATCCCTGTACAGGAGTTAGAGGAGGATAATAGGAATGAGATGTCAAATACAAACTCAAAAAGGAGCAAAGATGAGGGGACAGAATACTATTTTACTATCACTGATTTCTTGTTTCCTATTTACCATCCGTTGCTGCCCTATGATTGCAGTAGTGTGCATAGGGCATTGTCCCTAGTACAAGTCACTCTCAAAGGGCATAGTTTTGCTGTCCTTGTATCGCCCCGTAATTCTTCGAATTCCCACAGAGATTCTAGGAGCTGAAGGCTTCCTGAGGAGCACCCTGTCATCTGGATCCAGGGTGGGCTAGCCGGCATCAGCTGCAGCTTCAGTATTCAGACACTGGGGCTTTGGCTGAGCAGGAGCCCAAGTCCTCACCTTCTGGGTTGGCTGTTCTTATGGTGTTTTATGAAATGTGATTTGAAAACCGCAACCCAACAGATGTGTTTGGCCTTGAATTTGGGACTTTCTCCAGCTGCCTTTACTACCTACTTCTTCTCTCTCACCTTCTACAAGCATGGTGAGTCCAGTTTCCTTTTTATCTAATGAGGGAAAGATCACTAGACTCAGAAGGGCAGGAGCAGGAGCACCCAAGTTCCTTGAGTTGTGAGTAAAATGAAATTTTAACATAAAGAGAGCAAATGTTCCCGAACTTTAAAGTGAAAAACAAAATGTCTATCTAGACCTATAACACATTAGAATACTCTACATAATGACGTGTTCCTTACAGTCTCTTGTATTAGAAAAAAAAATCAATGTAACTGTAGCACACATAGGGGTAAGAAGATGGTTTTTACGCACACACACTGGGCCAGTGGAAAACTAATACTATATATATACTGTTATCATATGGGAATCTAAAAGACTGTTAATACAAATGGAGTGTATTTTACTATTCCTCAATTATATTTCTTTAGAAATATGTTACTTCCTAAACAATATTTTATGAGTATAAAAGATGACATGGAATATTGTTATAGAGCAAACATGTTTGCATCACTCCAAGAAAATTCTTCAGCTCAGTGCCCACAGCACTTGGAGACGGGCTCCTTTGGAGGTAATCAGGCATAGCTGAGATCCTGAAGGTAGAGCCCCTAACAGGACTGGTCCTTACAAGAAGAGATGGACTTTTTCTACCCATGACCATGATGAGAGGACACAGCCAGAAACAATCAT